GGAAACAAAACCCCCGCGATAAACAAGGGACTACTGTATATGGTTATACTGGCAGAAATATAATATTCATGAAGCGCCCCAGGATGCCTCAGAAGTACAGCTTTTAGAAATGGCAACTAACCAAATAATTCTATGTAAATAACATCCATCCATCCACCCATCCATGATCTTCCACTTGTTCTGAAGTCAGGCCACGGGGGCAGCAGCTTGAGCAGGGAGGCCCAGACACCTCTTTCCACAGCCACCTCTTCTAGTTCTTATGGGGGGACCCCAAGGAGATCCTAGGCCAGCTGAGAGACATAGTCTTTACAGCGTGTCCTGGGTCTTCCCTGGGGTCTCCTCCCAGTCGGACATGCCCAAAGCACCTCCCTAGGGAGGCGTCCAGGGGACATCCTTACCAGTTGCCCGAACCACCTCAACTGGCTCCTCTCGATGTAGAGGAGTAGCGGTTTTAATCCGAGTCTCCAGATAACTGAACTTCTCACCCTATCTCTAAGGGAGAGTCCAGCTACCCTGCGGAGGAAACCAATTTCAACAGCCTGTATCCACAATCTCATTCTTTTTGTCACTACCCCAAGCTCGTGACCATAGGTGAGGGTAGGAACGTAGACTGACCAGTAAATAGAGAGCTTTGCCTTACAGCTCAGGTCCCTTTTCATCACAATGGACTGGTACAGAGTCCGCAATACTGCAGACGCTGCACTAATCCGTCTGTCAATGTCATGCTCCATTCTTCCCTCACTCATGAACAAAACCCCGAGATACTTGAGCTCCTCCACTTGAGGCAGAACCTCACCCTCGACCTGAAGAGGGCAATCCTTTTCAGGTTGAGGACCATAGCCTCAGATTTGGAGGTGTCGGTTCTCATCCCAGCCGCTTCACACTTGGCTGCGAACCGCTCCAGTGAGAGATGAAGCTCACCACACGATGACGCCAACAGGACCACATCGTCTGCAAAGAGCAGATATGGAATCCTGAGGCCACTGAACTGGAAACCCTCTGCCCCCTGGCTGCACCAAGACATTCTGTCCATAAAAGTTATGAACAGAATCGGTGACAACAGAACAGGCAGCCCTGGCGGAGTCCATCTCCCACCCTGAAGGGGTCCGACTTACTACCAGCAGTGCGAACCAAACTCTCGCACCGCTTGTATAGGGACTGAACAACCCATAACAAGGGGCCCCCAATCCCATAATCACGGAGCATCCCCCACAATGTACCCCAATGAACACAGTCAAATGCCTTTTCTAAGTCCACCAAACGGATGTAGACTGGATGGGCAAACTCCCATGAACCCTCGAGGACCCTAGTGAGGATAAAGAGCTGGTCCAGTGTTCCACAGCCAGGACAGAAGCCGCATCGTTCCTCCTGGACGTGAGGCTCGACCAACAATCGGACTCGCTTCTCCAGTACTCCTGAATAGACCTTACCTGGGAGGCTAAGGAGAGTAATGCCCCTGTAATTGGAGCACACCCTCCAGTTCCCCTTTTTAAAGAGGAGAACCACCCCACTCTGCCAATCCAGTAGCACTGCCCCAGATGTCCACGCGATGTTGCAAAGGCATGTTAATCAAGAGAGCCCCACAACATCCAGAGCCTTAAGAAAATCAGGGTGGATCTCATCCATCCTCAAAGTTCTGCCACCGTGGAACTTTTTAATGACCTTGGCAACCTCAGCCACAGTTATGGACAGACCAACCCCAAAGTCCCCAGACTCAGCTTCCTCCATGGAAGATGTGCCAGTGGGATTGAGAAGGTCTGAGAAGTATTCTTTCGACCTCCCAACTACATCACTGGTTGAGGTCAACAGCACTCCACTTTCATTGAATACAGTGTTTGTAAAGTGCTGTTTTCCCCTCCTCAGCCGCCTGATGGTTTGCCATAATCTCCTCAGAGCTGACCGAGAGTCATTGTCCAAGGCCTCACTGAACTCCTTCCACATCCAAGCTTTTACCTCAGCTACAGCCAAGGCTGTGGACCACTTGACCCTCTGGTACTCCTCAGCTGTCTCCAGAGTCCCAACAGCCAACAAGCACTGATAGGACTCCTTCTTCAGCTTGACAGCCTCCCTAACCTAGGGTGTCCACCACCGAGTTTGAAGATGGCCACCACAAGAAGCATCGACAACCTTGTGGCCGCAGCTCAAGGGAGCCACTTCAACATTTGAGTCATGGAACATGGTCCTCTCGGACTGAATGTTCCCCACCCTAGCTGGAATGAAGTTAAAGCTCTCTCGGAAATGTGAGTTGAAGATCTTTCTGATGGGTTCTTCTGCCAGGTGTTCCCAATAAACCCTCACTACACTTTTGGGTCTACCGGGTCTGTCCGGCATCTTCCCCCGCCATCTGATCCAACTCGCTACCAGGTGGTGATCAGTTGACAGCTCAGCTTCTCTCTTCACCTGAGTATCCAAAACAAATGGCCGCAAATAAGATGACCCGACTACAAAGTCAATCATCGATCTATGACCTAGGGCGTCCTGGTGCCAAGTACACTTATGGACACCCTTATATTTGAACATGGTGTGTGTGATGGACAAACTATGACTAGCACAGAAGTCCAACAACAGAACACCACTCGGTTTCAGATCAGAGAGGTCGTTCCTCCCAATCATGCCCCTCCAGGTCACACTGTCATTACCCACGTGGACATTGAAGTCCCCCAGCAGAATAAAGGAGTCCCTAGTTGGTGCACCTTCCAGCACCCCCACCAAGGACAAGAAGGCCGGATACTCTGAACTGCCATTCGGCGCATAGGCACAAACAAGAGTCAGAGCCCACCCCCCCCCCCCACTCGAAGGCGCAGGCAAACTACCCTCTCATCTACCAGGGAAAACTCCAACACACAGACACCAAGTTGGGGGGCTAAGAGTATTCCCACAATAGCTTGGCGTCTCTCACCATGGGCAACACACCAGAGTGGAATAAGGTCCAGCCCCTCTCCAAGAGATTGGTTCCAGAGCCCATGCTGTGTGTCAAGGTGAACTAGAGTTGCACTCGTGTCCAAATAACCTGAACTGACCTGGCCCCAGCCCGCAGCCATCATCTCTCCAAACCCCACCCGACCCAACGAATTAACAGTAATTACAGGTCAGAACCCAAAAAACCCCAGACGCTTTTAATTTAGCTTTGACTATTATTAATGGTTGGCGGACATGCGTAGCTGAGTAAAGGGGGCAGAAGATCAGAGCTGAGGAGCCTTCAAAGCACATTAAATGCTTCCCCTGCTTCTGTCTGAATCTTGCTCTGGCATGTCGGATATTTTGTGATCTCACCTGTTTGGGTCGTCGGCTGTGCGCGTCCGCTGAGTGCAGCGGCTGAATGAACATCCATTTGGGCTGATGGATCGCTGGCAGTAGTCCATCTGAAACTTAACTGAACTTTTTACCTCTTTCAACCGGCCCGGTCCGAATCCGGGTCGGGCAGGGCCATGCTCCGGGTTCGGGTTAGAAATGACGGCTCTAATGTGAGCCCAACTATATCTAGTCGGTACATCTCAACCTCACACACGAGCTCAGGCTCCTTCCCCATGGGGTAGAGACCCATGCCTGGCTCCAGGATGGGGCCCCGGTAACCCACGTCCGGTAAAGGGACACGGAGTTCCTTGCTGTTTCATGTCCATAAGAGTCTTTGGAATCGCTCTTTGTCTGGCCTGTCACCTAGAACAAATCTGCCTTGGGAGACCCTACCAGGATCAATTAAATCTGCCCCAGACAGCATAGCTCCTAGGATCATTCAGACACACAAACTCCTCCACCACGATA